CTCCTCTCTTGACTAATCAAGAAATTCTTATCGATCAAAACCTATCCGCCGCTCTATGCTCAACCATTTCGGCCCCAATACTTCCTTACGTTGTTCACCTTAATTCCACCGCTCAAATCTGGTCCACGTTAGAAATCAGATTTCAATCTTCCAACAGATCCAGGGTGATTCAATTGAAAAATTCTCTGCATAACATTTCTCTTAAAAACCAGACCATCACTCAATATCTGTCTGAAATCAAGATTCTAGTTGATCAAATATCATCCTCTGGAGCTACGGTTGATACTGAGGATGTAATACTGTACATTCTTAATGGTTTACCGCAATCTTACCAATCCTTTAAAACGGCCATTCGTACTATGCTCAATCCGATAACACTTGATCAGCTCTACGCTCTTCTTCTTAGTGAAGAAATCAATATCGCATCGGATCTTGCTCGCACAAACTCTGTTCCTGATCCCACCACGGCATTATTCACGAATCGTGGTCGTGGTCGCCGCGGTCGTGGACGCACCTCTCAGACACCTCAAAGCAACAACAAAAATACTACTCAGTCACCAGTGGTTTGTCAAATCTGCTCCAAAAGAGGACACGCTGCATCGCGATGCTGGCACAGAATGGATCCCAACTACAGCAATCCATCTCAGCCCCCAACCAACACAGCATTGGCTGCAAGCAGCGAACCATCCTATAACAACTGGTATCTTGTTTCAGGGGCGACATCTCATCTAACGAATTCCCTCGACAACATGTCTATTTCAACCCCTTACAATGGCACGGATGCGATCACTGTTGGTGACGGGAGGTCGGTAAGCATTGCCAATTCTGGTACTGGCATCTTACTGACTCCCTCTCGTAAGTTGAAACTGATGCATATTCTTCACACTCCCTCTCTACATTTTAATTTACTGTCAATTTCTCAACTGACTAAAGAAAATGACATATCTATCACTTTTAATCCTCATGGTTTTGTGTTTAAGGACATGAAGAATCATCAAGTGCTGTTTCAAGGACCATGTGACAATGGCCTATATCCAATTCGGTTCAAGTCTTCTTCTCAGCAGGCTTCGGCATTCTCGGCTTCCACGAACAAGAATCCTCCTTGGCACTACCGGCTTGGACATCCCAATAACAGAATTTTTTCTACTTTAGCAAATTGTTTTCCGCATCTTCATCTTAAACTAGACTCTAATTCTTGTATTTCTTGCAAAGAATCAAAAGGACATAAACTACCGTTTGAAACTTCTGTAAACCGCAATAATACTCCTCTGTCCCTTATCCACTCCGATGTATGGGGACCTGCACCTGTTTCTTCTGTTCAAGGATATAGATACTACGTGTTATTTGTAGACGACTTCTCTCGTTTTTCGTGGATTTTTCCCATGCGTAACAAACATGAAGTTTTTGATATTTTTGTTAATTTCAAGAATCATATCGAAAAGTCGATTTCTCTTTCTATTAGAACCTTAAGAACGGATGGTGGTACAGAGTTTATTAACAGCAATTTCAAAAACTTTCTTCTCAGGCACGGCATTCTTCATCAAGTATCTTGTCCCTACACACCCGAACAGAACGGCGTTGCAGAACGTAATCACAGGCACATTATTGAAACTACGAGAACACTCTTGCATACTGCATCGGTTCCTTACACTCACTGGCCAGACGCTGCACTCACCTCTGTATACCTCATTAATCGGATGCCAACTCCTAACACCAACAGATCACCTTTTCAACTCCTCTACAAAACTGCACCCACAATTGAGCATCTTCGTACCTTCGGCTGCGCATGCTTTCCGCTGCTACCTCCACACTCACATCACAAACTTCAGTCTAACACTAAGCTATGTGTATTCATCGGTTATTCGGATCAGTATAAAGGCTACAGATGTTTGGACTTGGCTACCAACAAAATCGTTTTATCCAGACACTGCACGTTTGATGAATTCCATTTTCCGTTTAAGTCCAACTACACTTCCCTGCCACCTGCTTCCCCTGCTATTCCACCTTCTCTTCTTATGCCTATTCATAATGCTACCGCCACACCGAATCCCGTTCTCTATAATCCACCGTCCAGCATATCTCCCCCTATTCCCTCCTCCTCCACTCAGACCACGGAAATGCCTAGCACCGATTATCCTAACACTTCCTTAAGACTTCCCACTCATCCCATGCTAACCAGGACTAAGACTGGTTCTCTTAAACCAGTTAACCGCCTTAATCTGTTACATTCCCAAACCACTTCTCCACATCCTTCTACCCCCACTACGTTCACTACAGCTGTAAAAATTCCCGAATGGAGACAAGCAATGGCATCTGAGTTTCTTGCTCTTCAACAACAAGGCACGTGGAGTTTAGTTCCACCTCCCACTGGTTCGTCCATTCTCGGTTGCAAGTGGACATACCGCCTCAAAACTCACTCGGACGGCTCCATAGCGAAATACAAAGCAAGGCTTGTAGCTCAAGGAAATCATCAGGAATTCGGTTTAGACTACAACGAAACTTTCAGCCCAGTTGCCAAGCTTCCTACTATACGAGTTCTGCTTACTATCGCACTTTACAACAACTGGGAAATACAACAGCTTGACGTGGCGAATGCGTTCCTACATGGAACGTTAGCCGAGAAGGTCTTCATGGCTCAGCCGAAAGGTTTTGAAGATACGCTTCATCCAAACTATGTGTGTCAACTCCACAAAGCTATATACGGCTTAAAACAGGCACCACGACAATGGTACAACACATTTACTGAACATCTGGTCTCAATCGAATTTCAACACAGTGCAGCAGATCCTTCAATGCTTACGCTTAAATCTGCGAACAGCCGCATTTTTCTTCTCCTGTACGTGGATGACATTCTTATAACAGGTGACAATCCAGACTCTATTTCTTCGGTTATTCTAAAGCTGAACGAACGCTTTTCAATGAAACATCTTGGTTCAGTCCATGAATTCCTCGGTATTAAGATAGACAAATACACTGATAAGTATTTCCTAACTCAAAAACAATATGCTACATCTATATTACAGCAAGCTGAGCTAGAGAACTGTAAACCTCTAGCAAATCCTACTTGCACGAAATTGCCTTCTGTTTTTTCGCAGGATCCAATTCTTTCAGACTCTAACCTATACAGACGAATCACGGGCTCCCTCCAATACCTGACGCTTACTCGCCCAGATATCGCATACAGTGTGAATCAGCTATCACAACATATGCACGATCCTCAACAACAACACATATTCCTGCTCAAAAGACTTCTCCGATACATTAAAGGTACGCTTGATTATGGTATACCTATCACTAGAACTAATCTTCTTCTAAAATCCTTTTCAGATGCTGATTGGGCCGGCGACCCCATTTCACGAAAATCCACTTCGGGGTATTGTTCGTTTTTAGGAGATACAATTATTTCCTGGACTGTAAAGAAGCAAAAGACAGTGGCTCGATCATCAACTGAATCGGAATACAGAGCACTAGCGGCGTTGACATCGGATCTCATATGGCTCAGGCGGCTACTTCTTGATTTCGGGATTCCTCAAGATCATCCTGCGGACATGTTCTGTGATAACACATCGGCAATTGCTCTTGCCAATAACCCTGTATTCCATGCTCGCACCAAACATATAGAGATAGATCAAAAGTTTGTCAGAGATCATCTTCAAAAACACAGCATCCGTCTACTACCCATCAGTACTATTGATCAGACGGCAGACATTCTTACCAAAGCAATGTCTACTCCTCGCTTTCTCAAATTAAGACTCAAACTGACGGTTACAAAGGACCCATCAGCTTGCGGGGGTGTATTAGTACAGTAAAATAAATACAGCTGTGTATTAAATATTTGTAATGACGTGGATCTCTGTTGTTATCTTAATCTCTGTACTTAGTGATATCCTAGGGTCTATAAATAGGCGTGTTTCCTATCTGCTCAAGATAATGAAAATATTTCTCTTTTGCTCTTCTTGCGTTCTTCTCTGTTTCAACATTAAGGATGACTATAATATATTTTGATCGACTAAAAAAAATTTCATCATCCTTCTGCCTTATACTAAATCCAAGAAAGTAGGCCAGTTCTCCCATCATACTCATTTCAAACTCCTTATTATTTTTGAAAATTCATCACATCAATTTTTATTAGAAGATCCAAACAGAATATCATTAACATAAATTTGAAGAATGAGTAGTTCATCTTCTACCTTTTTTAGGAACATGGTGGTGTACCGTGTCTATGATCCCATTAATGAAAGTTCTTGTTTGATTTAAAAAAGGTGTGATTTTGAAAAATATTAATTTTCTTTGGAAAATTTAATTTCTAAAATTTTAGTTTTGAAATCGAACGCCTCGTTATGAACAACATATCGCCTTGGCTGACGAACATATCGTTCCCTAATGAGTTCAAATTTTAGAACTTTGAATTCATCCTGATTATTGCAGTCAAACTCATTATGAATTCAAAGTCCTATGTTTGCACGAGAAATCTCTGGGCCGGGCAAGTTGGGCTGGCAAGAAAAAAATAAAATACAAAATATCCATGTGTAACAATTTCATTGGAATCTGGACGCAGAGCTACATCCGGATTATTATGTGGGGAGTCCGGACGTAGAGTTATGTCCAAACATTGCATATCCAATGAATATTTACTAAGTATTTATTAAATATTTAATACATATTTACTAAATATTTATTAATATAAAATATTTAAATATATAATAAATAATCAACATTAATAATAATAATAATATTAATGCTTGTACAAATATTAATGTTCAAAGAACAACATCAACATCAGTATTGGTATTTACACAAATAATACTAATGCTAATGACGACATTAATGCTAATACTAATTGTTGATGTAAATAATAGACAACAGTAAATGACAAAACAAGATAAAAATAATGATAATAATAATAGAAAATGAAAAGGAAGCTCACTATTTAGGGAAGATAGGCTTTTGGTGTGGACTTTAAGCTTGTTGTTAAGGAGGGTAGTGTGCTTTAAGTTTAATAACTTCTCGTCCATAACAAATTCTCCGGAGATACTGAGAGCGAGCGAGAGAGAGAGATGGGTGATGAAATCGACCCCCAGAAGATGAAAAGGATTGCCGCGGCGGCGTACGACTATGAACTCGATCCCCGGTGGACGGAATACTGGTCCAACGTTCTCATACCTCCTCACATGGCTTCCCGATCCGACGTCGTCGACCACTACAAGCGCAAGTTCTACCAGCGTTACATTGTAATCTTTCTTTTTTATCCGATGAATACCGCAATTGATTTGCCACTCATCCATTCTGCATTATCGACATCGAATTCATGGGACCTCTTGGAATATATCTATTTTTCTTTTGCTATGGCCTAGCCCTAAGCTTTTTCACAAAGCCGCAATCTTTTTCATTTTTTGCAAACTTCTCTGTAATCTTCTTGACATTTCTTGAACTGCCGCGATGTTTGAAAGAAGAGGGAAAATCCCAGCTTCTTCTATGGTGGCGTTGCCTTTAACATCCCGTGTTTTACTTGTGTTCCCCATGTTAGCATGTTTCTTTATAGCTGCTAATGCGTGACTACTATTTTAACACATTTGTTACTACCATATTAATACCTAAAGTTATATAGAAGGGCTAAATATTATATAAAACCGCCAACTAGTTTGATACCTTTATGTGCATGAATGGCTGAAAACCTAGATTATTTTGGAGTTAACAGGGATTTCAGCAAACTGACAAAATGCATTAGGTTAGAGAACCCTAAATTATTATCACTACTAGTCTTATCCCTACCTTTTTGCCTGAACTGTGAATCCTCCTTCACCATTCATTCCTTTTGTGTCTTGCAGATTTCATTATAGGTTTTATGATTAGCTACAACCTAACATCACTCCTCAACTTTTCCATCCAGCCTTGGGATTAGCTGTGGCTGTTTTGAAGTCATGTCAGTGCACAAACTAAGCAATTATATGGGACATGCCCACTGAAGGCTAATAAGCTTGTAAGAAAAAAATTTGACTTCATATGATCTATGATAATGGTATATGAAAAAATTTGCTCATTATGTTTTTATTTGGAGAAATATGGCTTGAATTTCATTTCGGAAAATAATCCGTTATATGCTTAGATCTTTGTCATATTATGTCCCTATGGAAAGACTCAACAACATCATTCCTAACTCCTTCATTCACCTTTAGTTATTCCCATTGCTAATTTCTTACTACGATAAGAAGATTGTAATGGTGAAGTTGAATAAAACAAAATAGTTTAATCCTTCTTAAATCATGGGTTATTTTTTTAATGTTTAAATGATGTTATAGCCATATGATCAAACTGATTATGTAATGATTCATATGATTTATATTGGATTTGAGCTAGGGAATTGATGTCATTTTAATGGAGACTAAATACAAAAGTAGATGGAGAATTGATGAAACAAGTTCAAATAAGATTCAATAAATAGTTGAAAAATATTTGACTCTTATTGAAAATTTGTTTGAATCATGTATGAAACTTATTTGAATCATGTTGAAACATTGTTTGACTTTTGGTCCAACCTTGTGTAGACAATATCTATGTTGCCCAAGCAACTTTTTTTAACCCAGTTCGAAGGTTCACTAGGTTTAAACATGGTTCAAATATTGATTGAACATTTTTGATCGTTGATTGAAAATTGTTCGATCTCTGTTTAAATAAGATTCAACATATTGAAGTATGTTTGACTTTTGTTTGAACCTGGTTAAAATCTAATTGTAATATATTTTGTGCTCATATTAAGAGTTTTTATTTTGAAGGTGAATTAAGCATTAATAATCTTATGTTTTATGAAGATGGATGGAAAGAATAGAGTCAATTTGGTTGGAATTTTAGTTGTAAATGGAGCAAAACATTGATGATCTCAAGAGGCATTAGCCTCAAAGATCTTATAGTTCTGATGGAGGTGTTGTATCATTTTGGATGAGCATAATTCATAATAGCAATTCATCCAACAAAAATAGTAACATAATATGATCATGTATTTTTTTAAAATAAAATATCTAAATTTATTCAACACCGATCTCCCCTTTTTTGTATCAACTATGTCAAAAAAGATTTCAACTTCAAATTATAACCATGACAAAAATATTCCTCCTGGCTAGAGCAATTGGTAGCAAATGAGGACCATGCATGGTTAGTCAGTCCAACGCTTCTTATTGATGGATCAAATGCTGATTTAAGGAGTTGATGAAGTTTATGTTATGTACATACAAGATGCAGATGATGGTTTCTCTATAGATTCTTTATTACTAAAGGATCTAATAAAGATTATAACCCAACATTTTGATCCATCTAAAACTAGTAACAAGTGAAATATTTTAGTTCTTTGTGTTCCTTGGGTTGAAAGCAAAAATTAGTGATATGAAATATACATGAATAATTTCTATCCTACAAGGGTTAGTGCCTGAAAGTACTTACAATCCAATGACTATTGATTTCTTGTTTGAGTCTCTTCTCAATGCATATAGAAGTTGAGAAATTTCTGTAGAGCAAAAATAATTTGAAGAATAAGTTATTTCTATATGTAATGAAGAAAAAACTTTTGATTCATGGTGAAAAATCAGGGAAAGACATTTTGCTTATCCGTTGTATATTTGAAAAATATTTATGAAGCTTGCAAACTATAAAGTTAGCCTGGTCAAAATTGTATGAGATTAGGAATCATTTATTTGAACACACTTGATTTTTGGATGTTAGATCCAAAGAGAATTGTAAAGCTAGGCGCTTAATCACCACGAAGCTTGTTGGATCTAATTTTAATTTGAAGTCAAAAATGGTAACATTATATGTGCAAAGGGATTATAAATTTATTTGTCTTATACGAAAGCATGATGGTATTGTGAGCAAGCTATCACCAATGTAGGAGGTTTCCTAAAGCATCCTTTAAAAAAATTTTCATCATATTTGATCATGTTAAATAGGAAAAATCTAGTGATAATAGTTGATATCCAACTTGACACTTCGGGTTATTTCAAGTATGGTTACTTTGATTTTGGTGTTTGTATTTGAGGCTTCAAAGTAGCACGTTGTGGCCTAAGACAAGTTGTGCTGGTATTTTGCTTATAATAGTGGCCCAAGACTTAAATGCTTAGATTTAGTCAATGATATTTGGATTAGTTGACTCAAACAATAATGATTCATTGATATATTTTATGGTTAGATTAAGAGAGCCAACAAATTTTTGACATAAAACCTAGTGTTGTTTCTGATAGACATAATAATATTGACAATGTTTTATTCAGTATATTGTAGAGGCGCACCTTGGAGCTTATTATATTTGGATGAATATCAAGAAAAAGTTTAAAACTAACACTTATCATGATAAATATATCACTTGGTGTTTATAAGCTGCATTTGGCGCATTGCTTTGCCTTTTGAGGAAGATTATTTTCAAACAATGTTATAACTTTCTCTATCATACTCTCTTTTTTGTATGTTACGTGAGCAATGTAATATTTCTCCACATGAATGATTTATTGGGATATCTACATATATAACACAAGGAATCCAATGAATCAATCTTATACAAGATAATGAGAAAAACAATGTTCGAATCTCTGTTTTAAAGCTAAAGTTCAAACACTAGTTTCAACTTAGTTTGAGTAAGGTTCAAACAGTTTGTAACATATTCAAACTTGTAATATAAAGTGCAGAAGTTGTTTATGCTTTGTTCAAACCAAATGGCCGAACATTAGTTTCGATCTCATTTTAAACGAGGCTTAAACAAAGTACAAAGAAGGTTTGAACCTTATTTGAACCCTTATTTGAAGACTAGTTCGAACTTAGTTTTGGAATCTAATAGTCAAATCCTAGGCTCCAAGTAGATGTTCGCATTAGCTTGCCTCAACGCAATTCTAGTGAAAAAAATCCATGAGGCTTATGCATCGAGCTTTTTTATTAGGCTTACACTTTAGCTTGGATGAGGTCCGCTTTGAGGCTTGCCTTGCTTGGTTGGCATGAGGCTTACACCTCAGCATATTTATATATATAAATTTATGAAAACTTATCTAAATCCTAAACTAAATCCCCGATCAAATCATGTCTTCATGCACCCCCAAGCCACAACAACTTCCTCTTGATTGCCTCGACCTCTAGCCGTTGCTTTCACCACAATCACCACCGTTGTAGCCGTCGTCAGGGTTCACTTGAAAGCTACATACCACCACCACCTCTAAAAATTTTGGATAATTAATCTCATCTTTATATACATGAAAAACATTTATGAAAGTGGAAGATAATTGAAATAAATGAAGAAGAAGTAGATTGAGAGGCATTTGGACTCTATATGATAAGACAGGGGAGAGCTAATTTGTTATAGCGACAACTCAAATAAATATCTCTCAGTGATACAGTGTTGATGATTTCTGAATTGTTGCCAACTATTTTAGCTTTCTTTAGTAATTAAATGTGGATGAGTAGGGAACTGAGAAAGAAGAAATTTTGAGTTGAACTTGATGTTTTTTGATACTTTTATACAATTCCTATATTTAATATTGTTTTGCACTTTTGATATTTAGATTTTAATTCTATTTCACGCAATTATTTCATATGTATACCAATTTGTTATCTCATAGTTCAATAGAAAGTTAATGTCATTCTTTAACATATTATTTAGGTATTATATAAAAAATAACTTTAAAGTTTTATTTTTTACTTTATGCATTTTTTATTTTATTTTAAGGCTTATGTCTCGTCTCATGAAAAGAAATATCTCAATACCCAATTGCGCAATTTTAAATCTTACATGTTTGTATTAGTTTGAAAACGGAATATAAGGTTTGAACATTAATTATTTTTTAACTTATGGTTCTTCGTAGGAATGTCATCATTAGAAGGGACGATGAATGCATTCTATTCTAAATAACAAAAATACATTAGCACTGACCTTTTACATATGTTGTTATTATGAGTCCTATATAGTTGAAATTCCCCTTGTGAAGGGGTGTGTTTAAAAAACTTGTGGGACCAAAATAGTCCCAATAGTGAAAGCTGCAGCCAATTAAGCAACATATGCAGGAGCTTCATTAGCAGAAGGTAAGTATTTCAAAATTAAAATGAAATCCTATATGGAGAACTCATCTGCATAAATTCTCCATTCAAAAGAAAACCTTGCACCTAAATAGGTGGAAAACTGAGAGGGAAGGTTGAAGCAAAGCATATACTAATATTTTCTCATTATTTCTTTTGCTCAATTATTTATTCTTTTTTTAATCTTTGCCTCTTTATATGCAGAAATTCTAGCATGTCATACAAGCATTGTTTAAAATTGCGCAATTTGCCCCCTAAGAGCCTCATTGCTTAAGCAATTTTGGGACTTGGTGAGGCTTACGCCTCATGGAACCTGAGGCGCATCTCAGAGGCGCAATTGCACAATTTTTAGTGAGGCGTACGCCTCATGAAACATACTGTATATGTTGGTGTTGAGGGCTCGAATAGGGGGAGACAGGTAATGACATGTTCATTCTCATGCCCATAAGATCACTGGAAGAAAAATATAATTTGCGGGTTAGACCAAGGTGAAGAAGAAGGTTGCAAGCTCCTAAAAAACTGCTCATTGTATGAATCGTCAGTTATTGTGAGATTTAAGATGACATTGATGCATGCAATTTCACATCAAAGTCACAATATAAGCAATCTAACCATTGTTTTGGGCTTGCATTGAAGAGGGGGGGGGGGGGGGGCTTGCATTGAAGAGGGGGGGGGGCAATTTAAAAAAAAAACTCGAAAGGAATTTGCAATTATATCTTCATAGAGTAGATTGATTTTTCCATAATACATATATTAGGATGATAATACTTTTTTTGCAAGTTAATGTGGGCATTATAACTTTTTCTTTTGAAAAAAAAATCAAACGTAAGGCTTTTTTTTATAGATGACTATAAGAAATTACTTCCCACCACCAATATTTTAAAAAAGGTAGCAAAATAAGCAATAGTGAAACAACGAGTGGCATGGATATGAAATACAAAGTAGTGAAAAAGTCAAACGGACCCTAAGAGAAAAGTGGGTAACATTGAATATAATGAAGATTTGACATTTATAGATACAATTGGAGATGAAGATGCCTCTATTGAAGACCCATATAGTGATGGGAAATGATTGGATTTTAGATGTTTTTTCTTATTTGTACTTTGGGAGTTTTGATAGACTTTAATTTGTAGTTTTGTAGTTTGAATTATGCTATGAGATGCATATATTGCAAATATATTTTTTGTTTTCCACTAAGTTCACTTCTTTTTTAGATGTTTTTATTGTATTATAGACTCTTACTATTAGTTATATGCTAGAATACTTAAATTTTCATTTACGCAATTCTTCGTACATGAGGCTTACGCCTCACACTGCCTCGAGGCTTACGCATCGCCTCATGGACGAAAAACGTCTCGAGGCTTATTTACGCAATTTTAAACCTTGCATACAAGGAAGCAAAAAAAAAAGTAAAATAAATAAAATAAAATCAATCCTATTTTTAAACAAAACAAGATATGAAGAATAATTATTCTGGGAAGATTTTGAAGCAGGAATATCACCAAGTTAGACTCTTATAACATCATGGAGGTGTCCCATCCACAAATTTTTTTTTTTGGAGTTGGTTATCTTAAAAAGCCAAAAGAACAACCTTTTTACTCATTGTATTATAGACCTACTTTTGTGAAATAGGAGAAACACATTTGGAAATGTGGACGAAGTCGATGGTATTCTTTATATTAACATCTTGCCAAACATCAATACCTTTGGCCTCATTTAAAGAAATGGTTCCCTCTTATAAATGATACAAGCACCATAATAATGAGCAATTGAAAAATAATCCATTTCGATAGAAAATAAGAAATTTAGTTTAAATCCCACCAAATACAAGAAATTATATTTAAAAAAATTCATAAAAATATTTAAGACACGCGTGTCCAATTTGTATTTAATATTTTTTAATCGGACATATTTTTGGCGTGTCCGACACGTGTCGGAGGAGTGTCGGACGAGTGTCATGTCGGATACGGTGTCGGACACTGCACGCTTCTTTGAGAAGAAGTGTCGGTGCATCATAGGTCCCTCAAAAGAGTTGGGATCATTTTGATCCCTCACAAAGAGTTAAGGGATCATTTTGATTCTTTTCTCAACGAAAATTGATCAATTATAGGGCTTGAACTTAATCTGCGCATGTCAAGTTTAATATGTTCTATATAATTCGTCAATTCATTATATTTGTTTTGCAGGTTACTGTAACCTTTGTTTGGTAGAATGAATTAATGATTTACCCTTTGTAAGCTTTGACTCTCAAGTCTTCTTGCAGGATCCTGATTTTGTGGTTCAATCCATGTCTTCGTCTATCTCTTCCCAGGCACCTGGAGCATTTCAGGGATCCTCATCAGTTCCTGCCACAGAAAATGAAAGACCTCGTAACTCAGGTAAGTTTTATTTTATTGATAACTTCCTTTTCTACTTACTATCCCTTATTTGGAGTATGCCACTTTTTTTATGTGTTATTTATATGCATATTTGTTTGTTTTTGCTTGTAGTTAAACTGAATGATGTGGTGCAGGGTCTAGTTCTGGGACAAATGTACCGCAAGGCAGGACCTCATCTTTCTTTCAAATGGATGAACGGACTGTTAATTTTGCTTTCAAATTCTGGGTAAGTAGAATAAATATTTTATTTGTAATACACTATGTTGTGATATCCTTTCTGTATTTCATTCCTTGAAATCACTATATTCTATTGGCTCTCTAGTATCTCACTCGCAATAATAAGAAGAAAATCACATTATACTTTTGGCAATGCTCAAGTATTTTCTTAAGAGAAAAAGGTTAATTTTGGAAAGAATTTTCACAATCATTTTAGATTTAATAATAAAGAATGAAAATAATTCTACTAATGTGACTATCATGTGGGGGCCTTCTTTCCAGCTCTTAATCTTAGGTTTTTGACCATAAATGCTCAACTGACCTTTAAAATTTTCTCACTACTATTGAGAACATGTGGTATAGCCATAGTCATTTTAGCCAAACTGCCCCAAATTTGTGATAAGCTGCCTTTTATCATATCCTATAACGATATTACAGTATACAGTTCTCTTCCTAGCCTGCATAATACTAAAGATCTGGATGGAGTGACACTATTTAAATTTTTGTTAATGATCTTCTTTCATAAATTGTTGGCCATTGTGGTGAGGATATGATGATTACATACATGTTTCATGTGTGTATGGTTTCTCCAACTTTCATTGATTTTGTTTCTTTAAACTCCGATCCCAACCAGCTGGGAAAAAATAAGAGAAAAATTGGCATTTAATAATAATGGTAGGCTAGATTTATTTAACTTCTGGCCAACCATGGCAAAATTGGTATCATACTCTGGTCGTGTTGTTGGAAATTAAATGCTCTCACCATGAATTAATTTTTGAAGCGATGAGCCTTAAGGAAGTGCGATGTTATTAATGCATTGAATGCAATATTTACCCATTTATATAACCTTTAACAATGACCAATTTCCTTTTTGCGTATTGATTTTACAAATAATATTTTTATTGTTTTGGTTTTTGCTCAATTTGCGGGAGGGTAAGTGTTATTTTCTTTTCATTTCTCAAACTTCTGAACATGTTTGTCATATATCTTTAGATTGCAAAGTTAAACTTAAACAGTATTGATTTGTTCATGCTCAGTTAGTTACATGAAAATGATAATTTGGATGCAGTCACTGTTGTCCAGGCTTCTTTTAAATCTAAACTCCAAATAACGTTTAAGCTATAGAAATGTCCAGGATGTAATCACTGAAGTTACATCACTGAAGTCCACTTAAATCTCATTGCGAATAATTGGAATCAATGTGTTGTGCATAAAAAGGAAATGATCGAAGTTTTTTTTTCCCTTAAACTTTAAAACATGGGGCATACTTCAAGTGAAGAGCACATCTAATGACCAACACACTTTTTTACCATATACTTCATAATCATTGAAAGCAATTTATGATATGCAAAATTGTTAATGCAATTATCATTATTAATTATGTGCTGAAGGAATTAATATTACATGAGAGTTTTTCAAAATATTCCTTAGTATTATGCAACATAAATATCAAATGTACCACGTGCATTTAATAAAAGATTCGCTGGAATTCCATTTATAAAAAATAAGAACAGAGGTTGATAATAATTATGAATTAGGCACCAACAGAAAACAGCAATCAAACCAAAGCAGTAGATGGAGTATTGCTTCTATTATTCAGAAACATCAAGACTAAACTAAGCTAAGGATAGAGTGCAGTCGTAATCTGACTAAGGCTTCGTTTGGGATGACTTTATTACTGTTTCTTAAAGTAGCTTTTTAGAACAAAAAAAATAATTTTTTATAAAAAATCTAATTTAAGAAGCAACAAAAAAGCCATCCCAAATGAAGTCTAAAGTTAGCTTGAGCAGCAAGGATAATAAAAAATGCCGTCTCTCAAAAACGAGGAAGATTACTTCTTATCATTGAAGGTATGTTCATGAAACAACAACAATAATAACATTAAGCCTTTATCCCATTACGTGGGGTCGGCTACGTGAATCATTTTTCTCAATTGTGTCATGTTAAGAGTCAAATTCTTATTTAAATCTAATAAAGAAAGATCATTTCTAATATTTTTCAAGTATTTTTAGGTCTACCTCTATATTTCTTAACATAAGCTAAAATACATCTAATCTCCTAACCGGGTCATCGGAAGACCACCATTTTATGTGACCAAATCATATAAGGCAACTCTCTCTAATTTTATCTTCCACTAGAGCTACTCCAACATTTTCACGAATATGCTCATTTCGTATCCTGTCTATAAGAGTAAGCCACTCATCCACTTAGGGGTATTAATTCGTGTCGACGGGTTGTGCTTGGGTTGAACCCATCTTGGACCCAACATATTTTAACCCAACCCGAATCCGACCCTATTTAGTTTTCAGGTTAGTTTTTCTAACCCGACCTGGTTTGGGTTCGGGTCAACACGACCCGAATCGTAATCTATTAGATACATGAAGGAGACTTGATTTTTGGAAAATTAATTGGCACTTAATACATGATATTTTGCAAGGTAATGACATAATGTATACAAAAATGAAAAAAAAAACTTTTAACTACTATATAAATTGTTTACAAATTATAATATTACATTGATTACAAAAATAAAATACATAATAATTAATGGTTTAATTGTTTAATACATTACATTTACATTTGCAATTTACAAATAAACTCAAATAGTCAATTTACACCTCCACTTCAACTTGAAGATACCATTAAACCTCTTACACTTCAACTTGAATTAACTACAAATGAAAGATGGTTAAACACTTAAAACTTAAAAGTCATAAACAAAATAAAAATCATAAAATTCTAAATAATGAGATAATTTAACTAGAAAGCTTTATCAAATAGCTCAGGTAAACCTTTCAACACATTTAGCAACTATTGAGAAGTGAGTAAATACTATATATTTGATTTTTCTAATTCTCTATTACCATCCAAGGTGGCAGTTTGCATTATCCATTAAGCTTAATGTAGTATATGTGAAATAATAAAGTATCTTCTCTTGATCTAAGCTAACACAAATGTCACCTGGTTGCAATAGTTACCCCCAATGCTCGACGGCTCTCACTTTCAGTCATACCTGTTAATGGCGAATGGCGCATCATGGCGCAAGGTCCCTTTGGAGCCATGGCGCATAGCGCACGGCGCGGCGCTCGCCATTTTGAAATAGACGAAGGAGCGGCGGATTTGGCGGAAGCACAACTCTGCGGGACGATTCGGTGGAAGCAGCGAATGCAGCAAACAGAAAACAGAAAACCTTCAACTTCGGGACAGATCAGTGACTTCGACTTCGGGACTACGGGATGTGTTCGGCGGATGCTTTATGACGCGCGCTATTTTGCGCCATTGACAACTATGCTTTCAGTTTAGAAGGTTTTTTCATCATCGCTTGAGCTTTCATAGCTGTTATACCCTTTACCTTAATTCATCAAATAGATGAATTTATTAAGCATTAGAAGTTCAGATTCAGCAACAAGCCAACAACCCACAAGGCAATTGCCCACAACAACTGAACAATAGGTGAGACGCCAATAGATTTACAACAGCCATAAGGATAAGACCCATAACAGAATTCGGGCAAAGAAAATAGCAGCATCCAAGAAGAACAGGCAAAATTTTAGCTATTCACAACTTCACAACAACACCAAAACAGGCTACAGAGAATTTACCCCCATTTTAATAACAGCATAAAATGATTAAACATATAAACATTAAAGCTTTGTATAAACTTAAACAGCCTTCAAAGGTCTGGTTTGAGCGGTTTGGAGCTGTTGTTAGAAGACACGATTTTTTGCAAAGTCATGCAGACCACACTTTATTCTACAAACATTCTTCTGAAGGAAAATTGCTGTTCTAATAATTGATGTAGATGACATAATTATAATTAGAGATGATTAAATTGTGATTAATAACTTGATGAAGAAGCTTGAGATTGAATTTGTGATCAAAGACCTATGGAGTTTATCAAATCTGAGGGGATTTTTATTAATCAATGCAAGTATATCCTTTATTTTCTCAAAGAAATATGAATGATTGGGTGTAAATTTGCAAATACTACTACCGAACCAAATGTTAAATTGAAAACAGCTGGTAAAAGTAAGGTAGTAAACCGTAAACAATATCAAAAATTAGTTGGAAGATTAATTTGTTTTACTCATACGAAGACATGAGATATCATTTGTTGTTAGTGTTAGTCAGTTTATGCATTCACTAAGATCCTCTCATTATCAATCATTATTTAGAATCTATGATGCACCGACACGGACACGGCGACACAGACACGACACGACACGGACACGGCAATTTTTAAAAATATAGGACACGGGTGCGGCGTGGACACGGCATAATAATTTTTTAATATAATATATAAAAATTAAGGTGACATTATAGTAAAAATGTCAAGCAATAATAAATCAATAGAAGCGTGTCGGTGCATCATAGTTTAGAATTTTATAATACCTCAATGAACTGCAAGAAATGGATTAGTATTTAAAAATAGAGGCCAACTCCTAGTGGAAACTTATACAAATGCAGTTTTGGTAGATGATATCAATGATAGGAGATCTACTTCAGAGTATTGTACATTTATAGAGGATAAAATTTAATTACATGGAGAGATTAAATAAACAAAGTGTTGTTGAAAGGAGTAGTGTAGAAGCTGAATTTCGGTCTATTGCATGTGGTTTCTGCTAAATATCATGGATTAAAATGCTTCGACAATAACTGAAAATTCCGATATCAACACCAATCAAAGCCTTTTGTGATCATGAACCTGTAATCTTTGTAGTCCATAATCTAGTTTTATATGACAGAACAAAACATATAGAAGTGGATAAATATTTCATCAAGGAGAAAATTGATAATAGGGTTATATACATGATTTACTTACCAATCACTATTCAAATTGCTAACTTATTTACCAAAGGGCCTCCTGAAACACAGTATGAGTTTAATGTTGGCAAGCTTTCTATGAAAAATATCTTCATGCCAGCTTTTGAGAAGGAATGGTAGAAGATATTTTAATATCAATTATTTATATTAGTTACTTCCATATTCTCCATTATTTCCGTACCCCTTTGATTTTCCTTTATGTTATTACTAACTTTGTACACACAAGTTAATTAGACCTGATTTTATTTGTTTATTTTCTCTAGGTAAATTTATTTTCTTGTTTTGATGATAGCCTTTGTAAAGTCTATTTATGGGATCGAGACTTCTACAGTGAATATGCAAAAAGAAAAAGATGACGTTTTTTCTTTTCCAGTCTTTTACTTGTAACTTCCTTTTTCTTATTTAAGTTACAAGCCAAAAAATTGGACTTGACACATGACTATTTCTTTACTTTAAATTCAAGAAATAAGCTTGCACATTTTTGCATTAAAAGCAGAAATTGGTTGCATCTACTTTTAGTATATACAACTTTTTAAATCCTACATTTTTGGCTTTGTTACTTGTTCTCATGTGGTTCTGATTGGTAGGTGTTTGCTATGTCCATTTTTGGGATCCTTCCCCTTATACCAAAAAGTATCTCAGACAAAGCATATCAGTTATCATTACTTGGAGCTACCTTTTCTGCACTGTTTTTGTTGTACTCCCATTTTGGGGTAAGTTGAAAACAAATCACCTTAATAAATAAAATTTGACATCTTGCTAGTGTGATTACGTTTTTTAGGAGATTTCATATTTAGCCTTCATTATAGTGTTCGCTGTTTGCATTTGTAATTTTTCCTTTTACAGATACCAAGAACATGGAATCAGCCAGGCATCCAAACATGGTTGCAGTCTGTTATGGTAGCCAGGGAATTTATTAATCTCCCCTACAGCATTGTGTTTGTTACTTCTGGGACGCCTTTTAAATGTGAGTATTCATCCTAAAATTATGATTCATATTTCATAGATGTGGATATATTGTGGAAGGCTTACTAATTTTTTGGACTTTTTGAAACTACATCACTTAATCACTTCCTAACACATTATGAATTATCTTTACAGTGGCATTGATTCCTGTTCTTTCCTGGTCAGTTCAGCATGTTACCAAGTTCTTAAGGAGAAACTTTAAACATTCCATTTTGTACAGGTAAAATTTTGCGAACTAGCAATATTCATGAATTATGGTGAATTTAAGTATATTGTTTAGAAAGGTTATCTAGTATTTTTGGATTCACACGTTAGGCTATGATATTTTGAAATTACAAGGTTCACAACATTTCACAATACACATTTAAACTTTATTAGCAAAGACATAATGGAAACTTTTAAGTCTAGAAGTGTCATCTCAAAGCTGAATATTGGCTTGGTTATTTGTGAACATATTTCCCTTGAATGTGTTAAGGATGCGTGAAACCGGGTATATCAAATTTTGTGTGCTGGGTTAACATTATCAAGTTTTGTGTGCTAGGTGTAGAATTTACACCATGGGATGATTTAATTATTTTTCAGTAACAATTCACTCATTTATTAATTTTGTTAGTGGGACACCTAGTTTTAGCTTGTCCTAATATTTTTTTCTACTTGGGTGAACCCATTGCATGAGAAGATGATTAATAATGATTCATCGATGCATTGTATAGATTTTTGTTGTCAGTGAACTCATCATCATCAAGTCATAATGGTTGAAGCTAACTGACACGCCAAAGTGCATTCTCTTTCTTCAGTTTTTGAATGGAATGTCTAACATAGATGTATAATGGCCTCTGATGAAAATATAATGTACCAGAAAGTAACTAAAAAAAGGTAAAGCGCACACAAAAAAAGACCAAAATTTATGTGATTTGGATTGAACAAAGCCTACGTCTATATGAGAGGAGGTATGATTTGATCCACCAAACACAAAAGCCATGTTACATTGCTCAAAACAAAGACACAAGCTGATGAAAATCTTCCCATTTATTCTCGTCAAAAGCATCACATAAAGCATTGATTTTAACACAATTTATTTATTTTCTTTTCATTAGTTGGTTAACTCTATTTGAGTTAACCAACTAATAAGGATTTAGTTCAAGTGAAGTGCATTAAGGATAAATATCAAAAAGTGATTTTATTAGAATAGAATATTCAACAAAGGTGGATGAGATATTTTTCTAAACTTTTTAATGCAGATTATAAGAATGCGATTGAGTTTAGTGACCTTAGCACCTTAAATGAAAATAAAGATTTTTGTTTTTATTGGCGTATAGTAAAATCGAAGTTAGAGAGGTTTTAAAGAAAATGAAGTTTGGAAAAACTGTTGGACCTGATGATATTTCAATATAGGTGTGGAAATATGTAAGAGATGATGGAATTTCTTGGCTTACTAAACTTTTTAATATTTATTTTGAAGACTAAAAAGATGTGAGATGAGTGGAGAATGAGTTTGCTTATTCCTATTTTTAAGAATAAAGGTGATGCAAAAGATTGTGCAAATTATAGAGGAATTAAGTTAATGTGCATACTTTAAAACTATGGGAAGGTTATGGAGCATAGGTTGCGGCGTGATCCTAAAGTTTCTCAAAATCAATTTGGATTCATGCCGGGTAAGTCTATTATGGAAGCTATACATTTATTGAGAGGTTTGATAGAGAAGTACATAGAGAATAAGGAGGATCTACTCATGATATTTATTGATTTAGAGAAAGCATATGATAACTTTCCAAGAGAAGTGTTATGGAGAGTTCTAGAAAAGAAAGGGGTTAATAATGCTTATATTCAAGTCATTAAGGATATTTATGCAGGAGCTGTTACTTGTGTTCAAACACAAGGTGGTTTGACCAAGTATTTTCTTATTTCAGTTGGATTACATTAAGGATAAGCCTTAAAACCGTATTTTTTTGCTTTAGTCATGTATGTTCTCACTAGACATTTGCAAGAGGTTGTACATTGGTGTATGCTTTTTGCTGATGATAGTCTTCTTGTTGATAAGACTAGAGAGGGAGTTGAAGGTAAACTTGAATTATGGAGGTCAACCTTAGAGTATAAAAGGCTTTCGTTTTAGTAGATCTAAAACTAAATATATGGAGTGCAATTTTAGTAATAATATATCTAGTGGGTGTTGTGACTTTGGGTGATCAAGTCATTAATAAAAGTACATATTTTTAATATATTGGGTCTATTGTTCAGAGTGATGATGAAATAGATTGGGATATTATTAGTAGAATTCAAGATGGATGGTTGAAGTGGAGGAATGCATCAGGCTTGTTGTGTGATAGAATTCTATAAGATGGTGGTTAAACCTGCAAATCTTTATGGTGCAGAATGTTGGCCATTAAAAGAGAAGCATAATATTAAGTTAAGTGTTGCAGATATGAAGATGCTTAGGTTGATGAGCGGCTTTACTCTTAGGGACAAGATGCGAAATGATCATATACGTAAAAATGTTGGAATAGCTCCAATGTAAGATAAGATTAGAGAGAGTTGCCTTAGATGGTTTGGTCACATAAAATGTCGGCCTTCTAATGACCCGGTTAGGAAAGCAGATGTATTAGATTTGACTTATGTTATGAAAAGTAGAAGTAGACCTAAAAGACTTGGCTAGAAAATATTAGAAATGAAATTTTTTTATTAGCTTTAAATGATAATTTAACTCTTAATAAGACACAATGGGGAAAAATGATTCATGTAGCCGACCCTACATAATAGGATAAAGGCTTGATCATGATGATGTTGTTGTTGTTAACTCTATTTGTTATTTCTTTATTTAATAACATGGCGGTGATGTTGATTGATAAAAGATTGTATTTGATTTCCTAGCTTTTGGTTTGTTTATATTGTTGACATGATTTCATTTTTTATTTAGTTTAAATTAATTCTCACAAAAGATTGAGGAGGTTATGATAGATTGCCTTATATTTTCATTCATATTATATGGAGTTGTATTGGAGATTGGTTATTATTTGGATTGCCACTCGGATATGGTTGTGTAGTTTTAGTCTTGGATTTTTTGTAGTTGTGGATTGAGCGGCTTAGGCAATGGAGTTTGGATTTACTCATCATCTTAAAAGATGCTTGTTTTATATCTTATTGTCTAAATTAAGTGGGCTGTGGCGTGACCTGTGGATTTTCTATTATTCGAGATAGGATTTGTCGTTTTCTCAAGTTTCACTTTTTATGATTGTCATCGTTCAACTTTGACTAGAAAATTTGTTAGTCTCAGGTCGGGCCTTGCGTGTGTGCTTCCTAAATTAGCTGGGTGTAGTAGTCACGGGTTATGTTATTGTGGACTATTCAATATTGTTTATAAACTTAACATGGGTGTTAGACTACGGAATTATGGTAATTTGAATTTGTGGATGGAATTAATTTTCTTGTTGTTTGTATGTTTCCCATTTGTTGCTAGAATTGTTGAGTTATTTTGATCATTCATTATCATTTGGATTTTAGTTCTAGTATTTATTGCTCACATTTAAAGAAAACAAGTTGTTAGATCATTTAGTGGCTTGTGACCTATGAATACTAAACATCCTTTGCATGTATTCATACTGCACATCACATTATTTGCATGAGGAAATCATAAACATAAATTGTTCTACATCAATTCGTGCATACTGCACATCATTTTAATTGCATGTCGAAATCATAATCTTGAGTCATCTTGTATCAAATTGGGTATCAAAGTTTTGAATTGTGTCAGTATGTCACTTAAATGCAGAGCTAATTATCATGACAACTTAATTGATTGTGAAAAAGATAAAATTTTGATTGCTTTCTATCAACAATTGAATGAATTGCTAAATTAGCAAAATCAAATCTTTGATGACATTAATCTTGTTTAAACACAGATTGACAATTTGGAGGCCAATCAGGTTTATGCATGTGAACCTAAATGAATTCCTGTTATAATGATGAACCAATGCACTTGAATCATAAATCTAAACAAGAGACAAGGAAATAATTTTGATATGAAATTTAGTGTTTTTGAGAATGATGCTTATTAAAATTATAGGTGTAAAAGTTTTGATGTAGATGATGACATAAGTAAAATAGTTAAAGAAGTGTCTACTAATGATGGTGAAATTGATCATAAAGTTTTTACTAAGTGGTTATTAGATGTTGACTGACTGTTATTTTGCGTAAAAAAATTTAATTGGGCAAGTTAAAATCTATTGTCTAAGTATGGTGAAGAAACAAAGATTGGGAAAAAAATCTACAATAACCTAGACTTTGTGCCATTGTTATATTGTGCTTGTTTTCTTTACGAATTTAATTAATTAAAGTAGGTCACCAAAATTGTCACTGAATACTTGAATAAATTTGAAGAATTTGAAGAACTATTATTATTGCATTTTGAGATCAATGAAGATTCTAAAATTGGGAAAAAGGACTAAAATGATCCCTTAACTCGATGAAAAATCAAAATGATCTCCAACTATATTAAATGATTACTTTGGTCCGTTAACTCCTTAAAGAGGAAGTAAAATAATCTCACCAAAGGGCTATTTTTATTCATTTTTAGAGACTTGATGGATCAAAATGGTTTTTTAATATAGTTGTGAATCTTTTTTCCCTTACTAAAGAACCAATGGACCATTTTGGTCCTTTTCTCTCCTAAAATTACTTTTTAAATTATGTTTGATTTGAGACCAATATTATAATATTCCATCACTTGAGCATGCTTTTCATTTTGCGGTAAACTTTAAACAAATGTTAAAATTTCCTATGCCTAAGAGGGTTATTACATATTCAAGGAGTGCATCATTTTGGCAAGATAATCAAGTTTAATTTATTGCACCTATTGCATCTATGGATTGCAACTCTATAACTAATAGAATACTAAGAGAAAATCAACTACATCTGTATCCATGTATGAGATTTCTATAAATGCACGCTTTAAGTGGTATCAAACTCGTCCTAATATTATTTAGTGTCTCAGTAGATGTTTGCTTATGAATGTGGAGGAAGAAGAGAGTGAAATTAATGGTTCTGGTAATATTCATGAGTTTAATGAAAAATTTAGTGATTCTAAGAATGTTTTAGTTGATAATTCATAAATGCTTTAGTTGACAATTCTTTGAATATCATATATTACATTTTAGCTATTCTTAATGTTGAATCCTATTTAAAGATAGCTACAATTTGTTTTACTTTATAAATAAGATTAATTGT